CTTGGATTCAACACACACACACACACACACACAAATAAAAAAATAAATAAAAAAAAAAAAAAAAAAAAAGAAATGAATACTCGGTGTCAGGTGTCTTCTTACCTACTCTGGGTCATGTTCAGAGAGCATTAGGCTACATCCTCAGTGTGTGTGTGTGTGTGTGTGTGTGTGTGTGTGTTGGTATTTTGTGCAGGGTCTCACTATGCAGCTCAGACTCGTAGCCACCATCACCATGCCTGGACTCGGCTGGCTCAGCATGTCTAGGGGCGTGGCCAGCGCCACATGTGGTGCCAGGGATCAAACCCTGTTCCCTGTGCTTGCCTAAGTAGGTGTTTAGTCTGCTGAGCTAGCTCGCTGGCCCTCAGTCTTTTTTAAATACTATTTTGAGTTGGATGTGGTGGCACACATGTGTAATCCCAGCATTTGTGAGGCTGATCACCACAAGTTGAAGGCTGGCCTGGGATATATGGTGGTAAGACTCTGTCTCAAAAAGAACAAAGACTAAATGAATTTTATTTTGAGGCAGCCCTAGTAAGGCGCTCAGGTCAGGCTCAAACTTGAAGTCCTCCTCCCTCAGCCTCCCAAGTAGCTGGTTTATATGTGGTTACCACTGTGCAGCTCAAATTCCCAGCAAAACCTAGATTAGGAGAGTTATGTATAGGAATGTGTTGGAGAAAGAAGCCTGTACCATATGGTGGCGCATATGCCTATAATCCCAGTACTCAGGAGGCTGAGAAATGATGTATGCAACTTCCATCCCAGCCCAGGTAATGTAGCAATTTACTGAGATCCTGTCTCAAAATTAAAAAAAATAAAATGATAGTTGGGGATATAACATAGTGCAAAGGCTCTCTATTCATTATCCAGTTACACCCCCCCAAAGAAAGATGGGTGACATGGGTGTACTTTTGTTACTTGATAATACATTTGAAGATAGCATACTAATTTGCAGAATTAAGGATAATGTAAGAGGAAAAAAAGGGCCAGGATGGTGGTGCTGTTGTAATCTCAGTACTCAGCAGGCTGAGGTAGGAGGATCACTGGGAATTCAAGGCCACTGTGGAATATATGTAAGACCTTGTCTCAAAAAATTAAAGAGAGATGGGGGCCGGGGAGATGGCTCAGTGGAATAAGTGCTTCCCTGGCAAGCGCAAGGGCCTGAGTTCAATCCCCAGTTCTGCCAAAAAAAAAAAAAAAAAAAAAAAAAAATTAAAGAAAGACAGAGGGAAATGTGGACAAATTAGCCTTAACCAGTAAAATCACAGAGAGGGACAAGAAAGCAATGGTCTGATGATAATAATGATGATGGTAACAGGAAGCAGTTCTTGCTCTACTCTTAAACTTCATTTTCCAATTTTTTTTTTCCTTTCCAGAACTGGGGATTTAACTCAGGCCCTTGTGCTTGCCAGGCAAGTGCTTATTCTACTGAGCCATCTCCCCAGCCCCAAACTTGTTTTTGATGTCAGTCAGATATTTGGTTGTCCCCCATCCGCATCCTAAGCAGGCAGTCAGTACTACAGCAGACATCAGCTGGGTGTCTTCTCATTCAGTAAAATTCCAGCACTAGGTAGCCAAGACCCAGAAGATTAACCGTCCTCAGATACCTCCCGCAGTGGTGCTTGACTAGTCAGCTGCAGATCAAGCAAGGTTCCTGTCATCCCTCCTTGGGTTGATGAATTTGCTTATAGAACTCCTCTTACAAAGGATAAAACGGAAGGGAAGCATTAGACCAGGGTTGGGAAAGGGACACAGAGATTTTACACCTGGTGGGGAGCGCCACACTCCACAGCTCTTTATCTGCTGTGGTAGGTTTTTATGGAGGACTTGTTTAGCTCCCCAGGCATGATTGATTGGCTCCTGGCCCACCCCACCTTGCAGCTGCCTCCGGGTTGGGGTGGCAGGCAGCTCATTAGCATGTGAGACACTTAGCCCTTGTCAGATTTTTAGGAATTCCAAGTTAGGAATCTGGAACCATGAACCACGGAATGCCAAATATAAGCAGTTAGCCCTCTCTATGCAGGATTCCATCACTTCAGATTCAGCTAAATGCACATCAAAAGTTTTCTGGAAAAAATGAGTACACTGAACATTGACAACTTTTTATTCCTTGTTCTTACTGCCCAAACAGCACAGTATAATAACTACTTACATAGTGTTTGTGTTGTATTGGTTACGATAGTAACCTGGAGGTAATTTAGGTTGTATGTGCTTGTGTGTGATTATACCCAAATAATGTAAAGGTTATGTATGTGCACATACGGTTATGGGGAAGTACTGTACTGTCTTTCATGAGTGTCCAGAGATTTTGTTGTCGTGGAGAGAGTAGTAGCTCTTGGACCAATGCCCTGGGAACATGAAGGGTCAGCTGTGTCCCATATCAGAGATGGTTATAGAGAGCAGCAGTGAGCACAAAACAGGAAAGAAAGGGGCTGGTGAGATGGCTCAGTGGTCTAAAGCACCTACTTAGAACAAGCTTAGCAGAGCACAGGGACTGCGGTTCAATCCCCCAGCACCACATGCCAGCCAGCCCCACCCCCTGGTGGGCTGAGCTGCCCCCCCCCCACAAATAAATGAAAAATTTATTTAAAAAAAAAAAAGAACAAGATCAAAGCAACTGAGTAAGCAAGGATGTGAGGTTTGATGGGGACAGTCACTAAGTGTGTATTTATAGATGGGCCAAAAAACAGCCCTGCAGAAATACTTGCTTATTTCTTAACATGGTGCAACATTCACAGAAAATATACATTTATTTGTGTTATAGTAAGAAATTGTTATTAATAAGAAAGAAAAATGACTCCGTTATTGAAATTAGATGTGCTGGGCTCAGTAGTAAAGCAGTTATCTAGTTACATGGAAGGCCCTGAGTTCAATCCTGGGCAGTGCAAACGCACATGAAATTAGAAGTGTCAGATCAGGGCCGGCAAGATTGCTCAGTGATCTAAAGTGCCTGCTTCGGCAAATTTAGGCAGGCACAGGGGACCGAGGTTTGATCCCCACCATGCCATCCTCACCCTGAGGGCAGGCTGAGCCAGCCAAAAAAAAATAGAGTGTCAGGTCATATTCTCATATTCTCTTGTTGTAATCCTGAAGTTTGGAGTCATTAAAATACTTAACAAAATACCTCAGCCCAGGAGAAGTCCTGGGGTCAGTGGGGAATGTGGGTGGGTATGAAGTAGGCCTGGGGGTGCAACAACATGGGTAGGACAGGGGTTTGAGGTGGTGGGGACAGTTCCTGTGGAGAATCGGCGGTGGGGTGGGGGACAGTTCCCATGTGGGTGCAGGTAGAAGTGCGTGTATGTGTACATATGGCCATACTGTGTCCTTGGAGTGCAGCAGAGGGACTGGGGAGAGGACAAAGTATTGGTAAAGTGAGGGACCATGGCACCTCAGTTGTCCAAGGTAGAAGGTGAACTAGATGACTCAGCTGTCTCTGAAGCAGAACTGTGTGTTCACTTGCTGATGTCTCGTCTCTGGCCACTCTGTTCCAGAACCGAGGTGCCCTTGAATCTAGCCCATCAGGGATAAAGCTGCCACCCCTAAAAATAGGGGCAGGTACAGTCAGAACAGTAGGGCCTGGGGTGGCAGACACCAGGCTTTGCAGGTGTGGTGCCCTGGAGTGCCACATGGGCAGACCTAAGGACCTTGCTTACGCACAGATCACTCAGGTCCCAGTGAGGCCTGGGAGGTGGGTATAGGTACAGGCTGCAGGGCTCCAAGTGTCTGGTGCCCTGGTCCAGAAGGAATTAAGAGCTTGACATCCCTAGTCTTTGGAGGGAATAGCAGGGACAAGTTTGGGACAGGTAGTTGGGGGTGAGTTCTGGGGGTGCTGGCCCTGCCGATCTCAGTCTCAGCATACTGTGCCACATATTCACTCAGGTGGTGACCTGAGAATGAAGTGGGAAGGAAGTCACCTGTGGGGAGCACAAGGATGCTCTGTGGATGTGAGAGCATCAACTGGAAAATGTCATAGTACGGTGGCCTGAGGTCAAAGTGTTCCATGTGCTGTGGTGTTCACCAGGCTCCAGGGAGCGCACACTGAGTCTCTGGGGGCTTTATTTTAATCAGGATGGTGCTCTCTGCACTTACCACGCTGCCGGCTACATGACATGCCCTCTTCTTTCCCCCCACCTCCACAGGGAAGCTACAGGGCCCAGGTTCCTGGTGTTGGGGGACAGTAAGGTCCCCAGTGTTGGCAGGGCAGTATGCTGGGTTCTGCAGAATGGGCAGTGCTGGTAGCAGGTGTGTATCAGCTGTAATAGCAATTCTTTTTGCAGTCTTTTGTTGAGGCTTTTAAAGAAATACCCATTTCACCTTGGAAAACACCTATGTGAATGTGAGCTTGTACTTTTTTTTTGGCATGGGTTTCCCTTTGCAGTTCAGATTGGTAAGTGCAGAGAGCACCATCCTGACTAAAATAAAGCCCCCAGAGGATCAATGTGGGCTCCCTGGAGCCTGGTGAACACCATAGCACATGGGACACTTTGACCTCAGGCCACCGTACTATGACATTTTCCACTTGATGCTCTCACATCCACTCATGCTAGGTAGCCCATGGCTCCAGAGCATCCTTGTGCTCCCCACAGGTGACTTCCTTCCCACTTCATTCTCTGGTCACCACCTCAGTGAGTATGTGGCACAGTACGCTAGGTTGGTGACCTGAATCTAGATATTAAGTGGCCTGCCAAGCGCCTGGATTAGAGATATGCGTCCCTGCATCTGGCCGAGTGACAGTTGTTCTTCCTCTGTTCCTCTTCTAGGGGTATGACACACCACTGCATTTTGCTTGTAAGTTTGGACATGTGGATGTGGTCAATGTGCTTTCTTCACACCCTTTGATTGAGAAAAAACCAAAGAATAAATATGACAAAACACCCGAAGAGGTAAGTATAGTAATTATTGACATGATTACTATTTAAATTTGTTTATTTGTGTGTGTGTGTGTGTGTGTGTGTGTGTGTGTGTGTGTGGCCAGCTCAGCCCACCAGGGGGCGGGGCTGGCTGGCATGTGGGGCTGGGGGATTGAACCGCGGTCCCTGTGCTTTGCTAAGCTTGTTCTAAGTAGGTGCTTTAGACCACTGAGCCATCTCACCAGCCCCAACATGATTACTATCTAGTATTAGAAAGAAAATATGCAGGGGCCAAGGAGATGGCTCAGTAGAATAAGCACTTCCTTGGCAAGCGCAGCGGGTCTGAGTTCAATCCCAGTTCCACCAAAAAAAAAAAAGCAAATGTGTAGCTTGTGTTCATAGCTACAAGGAAGTTGGCACTGGGTCTGTGAGTGGTGCTGCCTGCGGCACACTTCAGAACTCTGATATCTGGGCATATGTGGACAGTCTGTCCAGCTCCAGGGAAAAAGTTGACCCAGTTTGCTAATTTCATTTTCCCAAAACTGGTGGTCAGTAGTTCTGAGCTACTCAGTCTTCCATCATTTTCTCTTGGAATACCACAGCTGACCCAGTTCAGAGAGAACAGAGATATTGATGGTGTGGTGTGGTGTAATACTAATGGCAGGGATGGTGGTGGTGGTGCTGGTGGTGATGACGATCGCGAGGGTTCTCAGCGGAGCTCTGGTGTTCAACTCAGTATATACCAGGCACTGTGCCAGTCCCATTGTCGTGATTCTCATGTGACCCATCAACCTTGTGAAGAAAGCCTCTTCACGATCCATTGCAGTTGAGCAGCCTGTGGTGTGGAGGAGAGAGCTATACCCAGGATAACTTGTACCCATTATTTTGCATGTATATAATTATAATTCAACTTTGATTTCTTTTTCCAGGAGTGGGGATTGAACCCAGGGGCTTTGCCCTGAGTGACATTCGCAGCCTTTGTAGTTTTTTTTTGTGTGTGTGGCAGATGCGGGGATTGAACTCAGGCCCACACGCTTGCCAGGCAAGCACTTATTCTACTGAGCCATTTCCCTGGCCCCTTAGTTTTTGTTTTGAGACAGGGTATCACTGAGTTACCTGACTGTCCAAGATGGCCTCAAAGTTTTGATACTCTTGCTTCAGTCTCCTGGGATTACAGCCATGTACTACCACATCCAGCTTGTGTGGATGTTTTGTCTTTATTTGTTCAGTATACAATTCTAGTCAGTTGTCAGCATGGCAGTAGATGCCTATAATCCCAGTACTTGAGAGGCTGAGCCAGGAGGATCCCCACAAATTGGAGACCAGCCTGGGCTACATAGTGAGTTCAAGCCTAGCCTGAACTACAGAGAATAAGACCCTGTTTCAAAAAAAAAAAAAAAAAAAA